CGCTCGAATTCCACCCTCGCGAGTCTAACTATATGAGCGCTATGAAACAACTTCTCAAAACTGGGACTCCCTGGGAAAATCTGGCGATTTTTAAATATTCTCTAACACATACTGAATCGGCCGCCCGCTTCTTCTGAGTACGATGGAGGAAGGGGGAGGGAGCAATGCAGATCAGCATCGGGCAAACCAGAAGTCCCAGCCACAGCGCAAATCCGCCGACCCTGTCGGCGTGTGTGAGGGGCTCGTCCGTTCGAGTGTCCTCGTCATTCGTTAGTCGTCGTATCTGCTGGCTCATTTCCCTGCGGCCCCCATTTCCCTGGGCCCGTCGCCGCTCCCCCTTTTCCTGGACACTTTTCCCAAGCGCGTCAGCCAAAGCGAAATTGAGTAATGTCGCAATTCGATCGAAGGAATAGAAACCTCCTCAATTTGATCCCTCCCCCGTCGGGGGGAGTCCCACGGGGGGTCCTAGGGGGGGGTCCCAGGGGGGGTCCCAGGGGGGGTCCCATGGGAGGGTCCCATGGGGGGGTCGCGGGGGAGATGCGACTCCCCGGGGGGGGTCCCGGGGGGGTCGCCACCAACATTCGCCTTCCTCCTGGGAGGCCCCGGGTCCCAAAAAAGCCACAGGACGGGCCAAGAGTGCCCGAAGAGGTCCCAAAGACGGTCCAAGAGGGCCCCGCATCGCCGAGCGATCTGTCCACGACGCCTTCACGGCCTCCTGAAGGCCCATGCGGCCCGCAAAACGCCCCAAGAGGCCTCCAAGAGCACTCCCAAGAAGGCCCCCAGAGGCAACATTCATTGCTTTCCCTTAGGCTTTTGAAGGATGTTGGCGTGCTCGCCTCTTCCGCCTCCCGACGCTCCAAGACGGCCCAAGAGACCCCAACATCGCCCCAAGACGGCCCAAAATCCCAACATGTCCCAAGAAGGCCCCAAGACGGCCCGAGACGCCTCCAAGACAGGCCAAGAGGCACCCAAGACGGCTCCAAGAGGGTGCTCAGACGGAGGATTCGAACGGACATTTCGAGCCCTCGCCCCCGAGAAGCTCGCAGGATGCCCCAAGAGGCCTCGAAGACGCCCCCAAGAAGCCCGAGACCCCCAAGAGGCTCCCAAGAGGCCCCCCAAGAGTCCCCCAAAACGCCGCCAAACTGACCGCCAGAGGCCCCCGAAAGTGCTCCGAAGAGACCCCGAAAAGCATCTCCTCCTCCCCCTGCTCCTCACCCTCCTCCTTCTGTTCCTCCGTCTCGTCTTAATCGTCCTCCAGCTGCTCATTGCCCTTCTCGACCTCCTTCTGCCCCGACTTCCCCTCCTCATCCTCCTCCACATGTTCTTCCTCATCCTCCCCCTCCTGCTCCACGGCGCCCTCCTCCTCCTCCTCCTCCTCCTCCTCCTCCTCCCCAAGCTCTTCCTCCTCTTCCTCCTATTCCTCCTCCTCACCCTTTCCCTCCTCCGTATCCCCTCCGTAGCATCCTCATTATCATCATCCTCACGATCCTGATTCATCCTCCTCATCATGCTCCCCTCCTCCCATGCGTGCTCTTCCGCCAGTGCTCCGCAATATTAACTCGACCTCATCCTTCCCCTCCTCCTCCTCCTTCTCCTCTTCCCCCTCCTCCTCCTCCTCCTCCTCCTCCTCCTCCTCCTCCTCCTCCTCCTCCTCCTTTTCCTCCTCCTCCTCCTCCTCCTCCTTCTCCTGCTCCTCCGACTCCAACTATCCTCGTCCTCCTGCTGCTTCTTCCCCCCGTCCTCCCCCTGCCGTTGCTCCCCTCCTCTTCATCCTCCTCCATCATCATCATCGTCATCCTCATCATCAGCAGCAGCATCATCATCATCATCACCATCATCCTCATCATCACAATCACCATCACCATCACCATCACCATCATCATCATCATCATCATCATCATCATCATCATCATCATCATCATCATCATCATCATCATCATCATCATCAATCATCATCATCATCACCATCTCACCATCATCATCATCATCATCATCATCATCATCATCATCATCATCATCATCACCATCATCATCATCTCATCCCTCCTCCTCCTCCTCCTCCTCTTCCTCCTCCTCCTCCTCCTCCTCCTCGTCGTGGCCGTCGTCGTCATTGTCGTCGTCGTCCTCGTGGTCCTCGTCGTCTTAGTCGTCGTCGTCCTCCTCCTCCTCCTCCTCCTCGTCGTCGTCGTCTTCAGGGTCGGCGGCACTGGACGTAAGGCCTTCACAATAAAAAAGAAACCGACGATCCACTTGGCAAGAGCCCCTTTACCCTCCTCTTGTTTACTCTTTCTGTTCCTCCCCTTCCCTCCTCCCTCCTCCCTCCTCCTTTCTCTTCCTCTCCTCCCCCTTCACCTGCTGCAGACCCTCCTCATCTTCCCTCATCGTCGTCGTCCTCCTCCTCCTCTTCCTCCTCCTCATGCTGGTCCTGCTTATCCCTTCTCCTCTCCAATAGGTCCTCATCTCTCCTCTCATCTACTAGCCTCACCTCTCTGCTTCTCCTTCTCTTCCTCCTCTTCCTCCTCCCCGCTCATCCTCCTCCTCCTCCTGCTTCAGTCGCCTTCACGCAGCCGCCTTCATGACTTCTCCTCCTCCTCCTCCTCATCCGCCTTCTCCTCTTCGTCGTCCTCCTCCTCCTCCTCCACCTCCCCCATCCACCCTGCTGCTGCTCCTGCTGCTGCTACTCCTGCTACCCCTTCTCGTTATTCCTCTGCCTCCCATCTTCCTCCTCCTGCCCCCCCCCCTCCCCCTCCTTCTCCTCTGCCTCCCTTCTCCTCCTGTTATCACAAGGAAGAGGAGCACGAAGGGAGGAGACAACCGGAGAGGGGGAGGCAGGCTTGGCACGCTCGCGCCACAGCTGACATCCTTGCCCTGCCTCCCATCCCTCTCCATTCGCGTGTTATAGCGGACCTGAAAGTCAACAAAAATAGTACGATGTGCAATCAGGAAAAAGAGCTGCGTACATAGGAGGGAAAGGAGGAGAAGGAGGAGGAGGAGGCTGAGCAGGAGAAGGAGCAGGAGGAACAGAAGGAACATCAGGACGGAAGAGGAAGAGAATGATTAGTAGCAGCCGGAACTGAAGTGGAAGGAGCGGGAGGAGCAGGAGGACCAGGGGAAGGCGGAGCAGGTGAAAGGAGGGGGGCGACCACGATGAGGAAGGACACAGATCCAGAAAAGCGGCCCGCGCTGGGGCGAGATGAACGACGGGAGCAAAGGCGCGATCGTTCAATGAGGTACACGCTGCCGCGGGAGCACCAGTTCTGACGGACCGAGAACAACAACTCGGACCTATTCTCAGCACGTCCTCGAGGTAGAGAGGAGCGTAGTATTCCGATGGAGTAATTGTGGCGGAGGGAGGGAGGGAGGGAGAGAGGGAGGGAGGGAGGGAGGGAGCGAGCGAGGGAGAGAGAGAGGGAGAGAGAAATAGAAAGAGAGAGAGAGAGAGCGAACAAGAGAGAGAGAGAGGGGAGAGTGGGGAGAAGGTAAGCTAGGCACGCTTGCGCCGTATCTGACCTCCAACCCCTCCCTCTCATCCCTTCCTATTGCGCTGGTGTGTTCTCTATCCGATGACGCGTGTCATAGCGGACCTGTAATAACCCCCAAAAATCCAATGGTATGCGCAATCAGAAAGGGGAGCTGCGCGCATAGGAGATGGGAGATGAGAAGAAGGAGATAGCCGATGATCAATCGGATAAGCAGGAGGAAAAGGAAGATGAGGAAGGAGGAGGAGGAAGCGGATGACGAGAGCGAACAGCAGCAGCCGGAACTGAAATGGAAGGAGCGGGGGGAGAAGGAGGCCCAGGGGAAAGCGGAGGAGGGGAACGAAGGGTGTGACAACTATGAGGAATGACTCAGCCGTAGAAACATGGCCCGCGTTGGGGCAAGCGCGCCATTCTGAGCAACGGGAGCAAGGCTCCGATCCCAAAAATGAGACCCACGCTGCAGCAGGAACACCATTTTGAACAAAAACGAGAAGAATCGGATTCAACCAAGCCATGTTAGCCAGCGTGGACCCCAAACAGTGTGTCTAGCAATATGTTTTGTGGAGCATCTGTCTTGCAATATATGTGGTGCAGTATGGGTGGGAGACGCTGTGTCGTGCTATATGTTGTGTCCAATCTATGTTGTGCAATCGATGTCGTGCTATCAGTTGTGTGCAACCTGTGTCGCGCAATACCTCTTCTGCAGCCTCTGTGGTGCAAAGTGTATGGTGCAATCTATGCGGTTCTGCAGTCTAGGTTGTGCGATCTATGCGGCGCAATCTGTGTTGTGCACCACCTGTGGCGCAAGCTACCTTGCAGGCGATCAACAAGCGCGCCGCAGGCGCGAACTCTTGTTTCGCGCAGTCTATGTTGTGCAAGTCCAGCGGCGGCGACCGGCGGCGACGAGGCGGCGACGGGGCGGCGACGGCGGGAACGTGGCCACCGGACCGCCCGCACGGCCCAGACGGCGGGCGGCGACGAGGCGGCGACGGAGCGGCGGCGGCCGGAACATGGCCGCCAGACCGCCTACGCTGCCCCAACGACGGGCGTGAGGCGGCGGCGGGGCGGCGACGGCCAGAACATGGCCGCCAGACCGCCCACGCGGCTCAGCTCCTCAGAAGTGAAATAAGAACCACGAAGTGCAAGCACTGTTTGGGGAAGAAGGGAAACCACGTCTTGAAAGCCCGTGCGTAAAAAACAATACGCGGAGAGTGTCAGAGACAGGGTCAGACATCTTCCGGTCAGAGTCAGGGGAGAGAGAAGAGTAGCACTCGGGGCGAAAGGGGGAGATGGAGGGAGGGGAGGGGAGAGGGGGGAAAGGGCGTGCGAGGAAGAGTCGGGGTGTGGGCATCCTGCGAGGATTACTACCCGCGCGAGGCCTGAAAACCCGCGGGCAACTCCATACCCCTCTGAAAATGCACCGTGGTCTCTGCCGCCACCACCACGTCGGGGTCGTCGGTGTCGTCTGGTGCCCTCGGCGGGACCAAGTTGGCAAAAGTTCTCTGGCAGAAGGCGAGGCCGAACACGAAAACAGTGAGGCGGGGACGAGGAGGTGGATAACCAGCATCAGCGGCAGTAGCAGCAGCAGCAGCAGCAGCAGCAGCAGCAGCAGCAGCAATGGGAGGAGGAGCTTCCGCAGCGCCAGGAGCAGAGACTGAAGAAGAGGAGGATCTGCCACCTGAGCGGCGAAAAGAAACGGATCTTACGCGAGATGGCATCGCGACCTTACGCGGTGACTCACGCGGGCCGCTGGCGCGGCACGCCACACTGGAGACGAGGGCGCTTCTGCGCAACCTTGCGCGGGCAGCTTGCGCGCCAATGTCGGCAACTCGCCATCGCTCGGACGTCCATTCCCTGTGTTTTTTGGGTTTCGTGCGTGGTTTTTCGGCAAATGATCCAGGATGCTCCTCGATGGCCCTCGCCGAGGAAAAATCGCACACGCCCGAGCGATGCCAAGGCAAAGACGACCCCGTTTTCTTCCGTCGCTCACCTGGGGGACAGGGCCACGGGTCCGTTTAAAACAAGGCTAGGATCGGAATAAATCGCTCCAAAGCGTTCCGGAGCGCTCTCAGAGCGTTCCGGAACGCTCTGGAGCGGCAGCGGCGCCCAATACATCGTCCAAACCCGCCGATTCTCAGAGATTTCGAGTTATCCCGATCCGATTTTGTCCCGATCTTCGCGTCGGTTTACCTTCGTCACCGTGCACGCAGAGGCACGCAGTCCAAAGGGCAGGGTGCCCGTGGGCGGCCTCCAGAGCTGCGGGGGAACCCGCGGCCTCCGCCGCGCAGCGGGCAGAACACGCACGGCCGAAAACCGGCTCAGACGACGTAGACTTAACCGCTGCGGCCGACCCCCAGAGGAGGACGAGGAGGAGGAGGCGGAGGACGAGGAGGAGGAGAACGAGGAGGAGTAGGACGAGAAGGAGGAGGAGAAGGAGGAGGAGGAGAAGGAGCAACCCAACGAACGATCGGACCCAAAGTATCCCTGACCTGCGAGGCAGAACAACATAGTGGACTTGAATGGCGGAGGAGGAGGAGGAGGAGGAGGAGGAGGAGGAGGAGGAGGAGGAGGAGGAGCTAGGAGGATGAGTTAGGAGGAAAAGCTAGGAGGAGAAGCTAGAAGGATGAGGAGGAGGAGGAGCAAGGATCAGGTACAGGAGCAGGAGCAGGCGGGGGCCAGGAGCAGCAATCAGATGCTTCTGGCTGGACAGTCTCTGGAGAGGCCTCCAGGGCCCACTGGAGACCTCCAGAGCCCCAGACGCCCTCAGAAACTTCGATCCTCGCTCGCCCCCCCCCCCCTCCCCTCCCGGGAAACCTCGACCCCCAACAACACCCTCGAGATCCTCGAAGAACCTCGATGCTCGATCAAGAACATGAGATCCCACGCTGCGAAAAACACAGCATGGCGCAACAAATCACGACTGCATCCCTGAAGACCCCAGCTTTCTGCGGCAGCTCTCGAGCCGGATCGATCGGTGATGGCCCCAGGAAAAGGCAACGGGGCGAAACCGCCCGGCGTGCGCAAGAATACAAAAAGCCCGGGTCTCAGGCCCCCCCCCTACAGGGCAGTTTATTGATACATGGGATGTTTAAAAGTATCGGAGCTTTAATACAAGATTGATCTACTAATAAACCAATGCATAAATTCATCATTGTTTTTCATACTGCGTCCCTTTGTTTTTCATACATGATCCGCACGCGGAGCACGTATTAAAAACGGCACTGTAAGGTTGCGTTGCCCCTGATCCGAGTAGTTTTCGGGCCATATCTCGGGCCTCAGGCGGCCGTTCGGGACGATTCTAACACCCCTAGAACGCTCTCGACGAGGCGCAGCCTCTGGAAGGCACCCCGAGGCTGGAGAACCGCCGAGAATCAACGAAAACGTCGGAAGGCCTCGGACCTCGACGCCTTTCGAAACCTCTTGCCCGATGATCGATCAAGGGACGTCGCTCCGAACCCGCTCCGCCTGCGCGCGTTGCGGCCACCGCGCGCGCGGCCCGCAACAAACCTCGATCCTCGATCACCCCCCCTCCCCCTTGGGAGCCTCGATCCGCCAAAAAAATTGGATCCCCCCCTCAAAGCCTCGATCCTCGGATGATCCCAGACGTCCGATGTCTTGATTTTTTGATGCGGGGCCCCAGAATGTCCCAACCCGTTTTTTCCCCCAGGGCCAATTTGTCAGCGCGAGCCGTTTTCTGGCAGCCCCGGGACCTGGCGATGGCTCCCAATGGCCGACATCGGCGAACACAAAACACATTGTTTCTTCAAGACTTTGAATGCCAGGGACGTCGAGGACCGAGGACCGAGGATCGAGGATCGCTCCAGGATCGAGGATCGATCCAGGATCGATCCAGGATCGATCGAGGATCCAGGATTCAGGATCGGAGGATCCGAGGATCTGCCAGGGAACGTCGCTCCGCCCGCGCGCCTCGCCGCCGCCGCGGCCGCGGCCAGCGCCTCCAGCAGGCGGGCCGCCGTCGCCGCCCCCGGCCCGCCTTGCGGCGAGGCCTCTCCCCCGGCGGCCTCGCCGGCGGCCGCCGCGGCCACGGCCTCGCCCGCGGCCTCGGCGCCCGCCGCCGCGCCCGCGGCCGCGGCGGCGGCCTCGGCGCCGGCCGCGCGCGCGCGGCCGAGGCGGCGGCCTCGGCGCCGGGCCGCCGCGTGTGCGGCCGCCGCGGCCTCGCCGCCCGCCGCCGCCGGGGCGCGGCCGCGCCCTCGGCCGCGTGCGCGGCCCAGCGCGGGGAGCCGCCGGGGTCCCAGCGGGCCGGCGCGGGGCGCGGGGCGTGCGGCTGCGGCTCCGCGGGCGGCCGCGAGGCGCCGGGCGCGGGGAGAGGCGCCGAGGCGCCGGGCGGCGGCGGCGGCGCCGCGGGGAGCTTGACCTGCGGGGTGGGCCACACGCAGTTCTCGCCCCAGACATGATCGCGTCGTAAAAAATTCAGGACGGAGGTTTTTCATGATTTTCGGCCTCTAGAGGCCCTCGCCGGGCCTCGGGACCGTCAAAAAACGACTCAGGATGAAAAACCGGCCCCAGGGAAAGGGTCTGGACTTCCGGGGACGCCGTCCTGAAAAAATCAGGACGTCGCATGTCTGGGCCTGCTTCCTTGCGGCTGTCTCGCCGCGGGATGCTTCCCAAGGCTTCCTTGGGGTCCGGGGGCCTCGGGCGTCGTCTCGTGAGTTCTCGGCGGTTCTCCAGCCTCGGGGGTGCCTTCCAGCGGCTGCGCCTCGTCGAGAGGCGTCGCGGGGGCGGCAGGATCGTCCCGAACGGCCGCCCGAGGCCCGAGGTATGGCCCGAAAGCACAACAAGGCTTCTGACGATCAAGGAGACCCGGGAATTGCAGTGTCTTCCTGAGCGGGCGTGTTCGCCGAGTCTTGGGCCCCGGGACCAGCACAGATCGACTCGGCTCGAGAGATGCCTCAGACACATGGGGTCTCAGGGCTCTGTTCCTGATGGGTGCGCGATGCTGCGGCTTTTTTCCGCGGCGTCGGCTCTGCGCCGCTGGCGGCGGGACCTGCGGCGGAGGGAGAGACAACGCTGACCGCGGCCAACGCGGAATGCGGAAGCGTAAATGCCGATCTTTTTCGTCGCCCATCTTGGCAATCGTCGAATCGTGGATCATCCTCGCGACCCGGCGACGGCCAGCATGGCCCATGACCAAGATAGGCGTTGAGAAGATCCCGTGAAGTCATGGTCATGGTCATCCTGCTCGCTCCTTCCCTCGATGCAAGGTAGAATGTAGGCATCCAGGTGTGGACCCCATGGTATCGCAGAGTCTTCCTAGCTTCGCAGAACAAATACTGTCCTCAGAGCCGAAGCCTGGAACCCTCGTGACCCCCTCGAGATCCTTCATCCAATCCCACCCTGCTCCTGGCAACGCATCCGCCTCATCCCTTCCCATCATCATCATCCTCATCCTCCTCCTCCTCCTCCTCCTCCTCCTCCTCCTCCTCATCATCATCATCATCATCATCATCATCATCATCATCATCAGCATCATTACCAGTATCAGTATCAGCATCATCATTATCATCATCAACATCGTCATCGTCATCGTCATCGTCATCGTCAGCATCATCACCACCATCACCATCACCATCACCATCACCATCACCATCATCATCATCATCATCATCATCACCACCACAACCATCATCATCATCATCATCATCATCATCATCATCATCATCATCATCATCATCATCATCATCATCATCATCATCATCGACATCATCGACATCATCATATGCATCAGCAGCAGCAGCACTATCGTCATCATCACCATCATCATCAGCATCGTCAGGATCATCAGCAGCATCATCATCATCATCACCATCCTCGTCTTCAACATCGGCATCACCACCGTCAGCAGCATCAGTATCATCGCCATCGGCCTCGTCATCATCAGCAACAGCATCATCATCAACGGCGCCGTTATCATCGTCATCATCACAGCACCATGCTCATCATCATCATAATCATCCTCACCACAATCACCATCAGCATCAACATCATCGTCATCATCATCGTCATCGTCATCACCAGCTTCAGCATCATCGGCCTCGCCATCATCAGCATCGTCGTCTTCACCATCACCATCATCATCAGCATCGTCATAATGATCATCATCATCACCGTAGTTGTCATCATCATCGGCCTCGTCAGCATCATCATCATCAGAATCAGCAGCATCACCAACATCATCATCAGCAGCATCATCATGATCATCATCATCATCATCATCGTCGTCATCATCGCCGTTATCGTCATCGTCATCATCATCGTCATCGTCATCGGCGTCGTCGCCATCATCATCATCATCAGCAGCATCATCATCACCATCGCCATCATGAGCAGCATCATCGCCATCACCATCCACCTCATCACCACCACAACCACAATCATTACGCTGCGCCTGTGCCTCGACATCGCTCGACCTCCCAATCGTGACTGCAACTCATCCACCTGGCAGCAGCAGGGGAGTCTGGATAAATCTGAAGTGCCTCCATAACGTTCCTGTCGCGATCCATGAACAGGAAGTCCTTGGCCAAGTCTGCCTTGTTGATCTTGAGCTGGGCCCCCTTATAGAGAAGGCCCGTCGAGACCTGGAGTACTGGACCAGTTAGTCCAAGTTCCGACGGGCCCTTTCCACAAAGAGGAGGGCGAGGGGTAGGAATCGGAGGTGGGAGGGAGGAACAGGGAGAAGAGAGAGAGGGGTGGAACAAGCTAGGTGCGCGCGCGCCATAGCTGACATCTGATCACTCCCACCCATCCTTTCCAATCGCGCTGATCTGCTCCAACACAGCAAATACTGTCATGGAATGAACTGCTTCGGCGGAGCCCGTATTTTGAAAACAGAATGCGGCAACTTTGCGGTCGGAGTGCCGTGCCCATGCCCGTACCCGCGTGCCGTGCCGTGCCTCATGTCCCAACCAGTGCTTGCGCTTAGGGGCTCTTGCTTCTGAAACCAGCAACTGGGCGTGGGGGTCGGTCTGGCGGCCATGTCGTCACCGTCGCCGCCCCGTCGCCGCCCGTCGCCTGGGACTGCCTTGGCTCGCATTGCGTTGCATTGCTATGCCGTGCTATGCCGTGCTTTGCATTGCTTTGCATTGTGTTGCGTTGCTTTGCACTGCATTCCCCTGCGTTGCGTTGCATTGCTTTGCTTTGCTTCCGTGCTTTGCATCGTTCTGCCGTGCTTTGCATTGCTTTGCATTGCCTTACATCTCTTTGCAACGCTGGAATTGAATTATATTGACTTGCATTGCTTTTGCTGTGCCGTGCGTTGTATCACTACGCAATGCGTTGCATTGGTTTGCGATGCTGTATATTGCTCTGCGTTGATTTGCGTTGCAACGCATTGCAACGCATTGCTTTGCCTTGCTTTGCATTCCTTGCGTTGCGTTGCGTTGCACTGCCATACATGGACGTACATTGCTTTGCACTGTGTTGCCTGGCTTTGCATTGATTTGCGGCGCATTGCTTGGCATTGCTTGGCATAACTGTGCATGGCATGTCACAGACGGGAGGGGAGAGGGGGGAGGAGAGGGAGGATGAAGGGAGGAGGCAGGTTCCAGCTGACGGAGGTCTAGACTCACGAGGCCACGACGGCTCCGCGGCTAGCGTCCAGGAGGGGGAGGCGAGGGAGGAACGAGGATCGACGCCGACGATTCTGGGCGTTCTCTTGCCTTCTCGGAACTCCTCGGAGGTCCTCGAGGCCACGCCCGGACACGCCTGGAAATTCGGGTGAGAGCGCACCCCAGGACAGGCCCCGGGGATGTCACAGCATAGAATGCCCCACACAGATTGCACCACACAGATTGCACAACTTACACTGCACAACGTGTATTGCACAGCATAGGTTGCACCCCACAGTTTGCACCTTTTCCCTCTCTCTATAGATGTAAACCAGCACGCCACCAAATATATTCACAGGACACTGCTAGAAGCACACTGCTTGGGGTCCACGCTGGCTAAACTTAGGTTCTAAAGTGCAAAAAGGCCTCGCGCCGTGCTGATCGCTGCGGTGCTGGTAGGCTGCGATCACAAGAAGCAATGGAACATGAGATCTGGTCAACGCCATCGGTAGCAATTGCAGACAACGGGCCGATCTCCGCGGAGTAAAACAATGTTTGATCTCATCGTGTAGGGACGCCGGCATCAAAGTGTGATTCCCCGTGGTTGGTAAGTCATAATGGTTATAGGCCAGTCCTGCCTGTGGAAACATCGAGAATCATGTTATCCATGATGATGAGGAGGAGGATCGAGAGAGGGAGGAATGGAAGGATACAAAGGGGGAGGGCGGAGGAGGATGGAGGAGGGAGGAGGAGGGGGATGGAGGAGGAGAAGGGACGGAGGGGGAGGAGGAGGAGGAGGAATACGGGGACGGAGGAGGGAGGCGGAGGGAATGGACGATGGAGGAGGATGGAGGAGGATGTAGGAGGATGGAGGAGGAGGAGGAGGAGGAGGAGAAAAGGAAGAGGAGGAGGAGGAGAAAAAGGAGGAGGAGGAAGAGGAAGAGGAGGAGAAGGAGAGGGGGAGGAGGAGAGGGGGATTGAGGGGAGGGAGGGGAGGGAAGGATAGAGAGAGAGAGAGAGAGCGAGGGAGGAGGATGGGAGGACTGGGCCAATTGCCTCCCGTGCCGTGCCCGCATGCCGCACCACGCCCAACGAAACTCCAGCGCGCCGTGCCTGGAAGTTGGACTGCAGGAGATGAGGCGTGCCGAGCCGAGCTCGGGCTCCAGACTGGGAAGCGTGTGTCGTGACGGATGAGGAGGGAGGGAGGGAGGGAGGGAGGGAGGGGGAGGGAGAGGAGGAGGGAGAATGATGATGATGATGATGATGATGATGATGGTGATGATGATGATGATGATGGTGGTGGTGATGGTGGTGATGATGATGATGATGATGCTGATGATGATGATGTGTGATGATGATGATGATGATGACGATGATGATGATGATGGATGATGATGATGATGATAATGATGATGATGATGATGGTAATGGATGATGATGGTGATGATGATGGTAG